AAAGTATCCACCTGCTTTGTCGGGGACCCCTGTAATCCGGACGGCGGGACGGACCGTCCGCAGGATTGGTCTTCCCTGTCCTATAGACTATTTCAAAGTCATAGGCTGCTAGCTGTTCCAGCCAATTGACCTGGCGTCTGTGGGATACCTTTTTGGATTGCTTCATGAACCCCTGTAGGTTATGATGGTCTGTAAGGACCTGCACCGTGTGCTGCGCTCCTTCAAGGTAGTGCCTCCACTGCTCAAACGACTTTACGATTGCTAGCATCTCCTGGTCAGGCGTGCCATAGCCTTTCTGGGTGTCATCCAGCTTTTTTGACCAGAAGGCCACTGGGTGCCACTCAGGCTTCCTTCCCTCCTCCTCGTAGGGTTGGGAGAGCACTGCTCCGCATGCGAACGTCGAAGCATCCGTTTCCACCCTTATAGGCTTCGAGGGGTCGAAGTGCTGGAGCAAGGGTCCTGTGAGGAACTTGTCTTTTAGTTCCCTAAAAGCCTTGCTAGCCTCTGGGGTCCAGGTGAACTTGCCCTTCTTTTTCCCTCCCTGTGAACCCTTGAGTAGCTCAGTAATGGGTGTCACGATATGGGAGTACCGGCGTATAAAACGTCGGTAGAAGTTGGCAAACCCCAGGAACACCTGGATGTCATGGAAGCTACAGGGTTCCGGCCACTCCTGTACCGTAGTAACCCTGGTAGGATCCATGCTTACCCCTCCGCGGCTCACTCTGTACCCTAGGAAATCTACTGATACCTGGAAGAAAGCACACTTGGAGAGCTTTGCATACAATCTATACTTCCTCAATCTATCTAGTACTAGCTTAATGTGTCTTATATATTTCTCCCTACTTGCACTGAAGATAAGGATGTCATCAAGGTAGACAATACACGCGATGTCCACTAACCCTGTAAGGACTCGATTGATGTACCCCTGGAACGTTGCAGGTGCGTTAGCTAGACCAAATGGCATTACGAGGTATTCATAGTGTCCGTACCTTGTCCTAAAGGCCGTCTTCCACTCATCGCCTTCCTTGATACGTACCCTATGGTACGCTTCCCTGAGGTCGAGCTTGGTAAAGAACATAGCACCTGCTAGTCTATCCAGCATCTCATCGACCCGGGGTAAGGTAAGACGGTTCTTTATAGTCATCTTGTTGAGCCCACGGTAGTCAACACACGTGCGTAGACTACCGTCCGCTTTAGGTGCAAAGAGCAAGGGTGCTCCAGCAGGGCTCTTGGACTCCCTGATCCAGCCCCTCTTCAGCATGGTGTCGAGGTACTCCCTCAGTACCTGCAACTCCTTAGCTGAGAGGTTGTACAAGGGTAAGTGGGGAGGGACCTTCCCTTCCACTAGCTCGATCTCGTGGGATACCAGCCCGGGGTCAGCAAGCGTATAGGCCGCTTCCTCCGAGAAGACATCCGCAAAAGATTCGAACTCCCTTGGTATTTGGTTTTTTCCGACTGCCTTCTCCTCTAGCGTTAGCAAGAGGAGTTGGACCGTCGCAGGTGCTCCGCACTCGTCGGGTTCTGGGGTTGCCACCCATTCCACGGCGTGTGGGTAGTGCCACCAGTGTTCCCTCCAGTTGATCCTCGGGTTCACCTCCTCTAGCCATGGCTTTCCCAGGATCACTTCGATGTCGACCATGGGAATAATCACGAAGGTCACCTTCTGCGTACGGGTAACCCCACGGTAGTCTCTCAAGGCTACGCTCGCTAGGGTCGTACCCTGGGATCCAATCTGTTTTTCCGTTCGGCGAGGTCTATTTTCCCGCCTAGGGTCCATTTCAGTCTCTTCGATGAACAGCGGGCCAAGGATCGGGTAATGAAGTATAGTCCGCCGCG